GGCGCATCACTGATTTGTTGACTCCTCCCTCTTTTTGTGACAGGCATCAATGTATTTTGCTGCTAGTAAGATACAATCTTGTTTTTCACCTAAAGAAATGTCTCTCAGGTGCAGCAGCTTCTCTCCATGTGTGTCTACTGAGTCCCGGAGTGTGTCGTGCTGTTGTTCTTCTGTTCTGAGTGACTCGAGGTCATCATGGCGAGTAAAGCTGGAGACGACCCGGACAGCCTGATGTCTCTGTGCACCATCTTCTGCCTGAAGAACCTGCGGAGAACCATGTGCTACAGCGAAGGCGAGCAGAACCGGCTCCAGCTGCGGCCCGACGTCTTCCTGCCCGGCGAGATCTGCGACCGGCTGGTGAACGAGTGGGTAGAGCTTAACTTCCAGAGATATCCTCGACTTGATTGCACAGATACTATCTGAACTGAGCTGGATGATGACATCACTGAATCAGTGATGAACTGCCTTTAACTGAGTGTTTACTGTTGTCCTGTGTTGATTGTACTGAGTCTTCTGGAGGAGTGTGTCGTGTGCCGATGGTGACTTGATGCCTCTGATCCGCAGGTACATGGATCTGGTGCACACTGACAGTGACTTCGAGCCGCAGGACGGCTTCTTCCAGCTCTTCAGTGACCCGCGCAGCACCAGACTGACCCGCCTGCAGCTGAGGGAGGATCTGGTGCGAGACCGAGACCTGGAGGCCATCGGGAAACAGGTGAGAAACTCCCGCTGTCCTCCGTCACCAGCATCACCAGAGCCAGTCCGATCCACTGTTGCCAACTTCTTTCAATGGAAAGCAGCTAAAGCCAGATTGAAAAGTCACTAAATGTTGCTAGATGACTAATTAGCATATTCATCATGACATCATTGCATCGTGTAGAGACAGAGCGCATTTAGGCCACGCCCACACCGGCGGGGGGGCAATCCAACGCTCTCCATTGACTTTGTATTGCGGGAAGCTGCCTCCTCGTCATTTCTGACTTTATAACAAAACACAGAACAATGTCTAAAAGCTGCTGTGTGACAAGGTGTACAGCAAACAAGCTACAAAACCCAGAACTATGTTTTTATAAGCTCTCGACCCCAAAAAAAACGTGCGTTTAGGACATGATGATGTATAAATCTCAATTTTAAAAAATTGACCCTTATGACTGGTTTTGTGCTCCAGGGTCACAAATCATGATTTCTTTTTGTAAAGCTGTTTTGAAACAATGTGTAACAAATGAAGCGTTGAATGAGTTCTGATTTGATTCGTTGAGCTGTTCGGTTTGAAGGAGCTGGTTTGCTGAAATGAAATGAACTTTCCAACAATTTCAGTGACTCCAAACTAAACTACTGCCAAAGTTTAACAAAATAGTTCTCAAACTCGTTTAGATTTAGATCGTCTCTCCAGATCACAAACTGCTCTTTATTAGTTCTTCTAACCATGTCTGTCCTGCACTGATTCCTCTAGAGACGTGTCTGTGTGATGTTTGCAGGATCTGATGGAGCTTCACCTGACCTACTGTAGCCGTCTGACGGCGCGCGGCCTGCGGACGCTCTGCAGCTTCAGACACTCGCTGCTGTCGCTCAGTCTGTTCGGCTGCTCCAGCGTCTTCTTCAGGAAGAGCGGCGCTCCGCTGGCGGCTGGCGAGGACGAGGACGAGGAGGAGCGTCTGCAGCGGCACACTGTGGACCTGGACTTCAGCTTCCAGGTAGGCTGGCTGCCATAGTTGGTGTTTACGGTCTTACGGTGTGTTCACACCAAACGCGAAGCGAATATGCGCATCGCATCACTCGCTCTAGATGTTTTTTGTGTCACTCGCACAAATAAAAACATCACACGGTCAACCATGGTGGAGATAACTACGATCGCTGCTTTGTACCTGTTGTGAAAGTCCCAAATACGACGGAAAGCCAAAGCCGACGAGTCTGGTTTCACAGCACCATCCAGAGGAGGATGAGTATTGATCCTGCATTAATGTGTTCAATTTGACTACTGCGTCATTCCCCGTCAACTCAACCAGAGGTCCCTGGCTCAAATTTTTGATTTTGCTAATATTTATTCTGAAGAAAGATAAACATGTATAGTGATGAAAGCCAAAATATTAAATGTCATAGATGAATATTTACTGAGTAATCCACTATTTTGTAGAGGGGGGTCAAAATGGCAATTTTCACCTGAGATTCAGAGCCAAATTACAGGGGGGTAAAAATGACTTCAGAAAGATGGCAGCATCATAATGTTATTTTTACACAGAGATTGGTAACTCTATTAGTAAAATCTGTTGACTTCAGAAATTTTTGTTGCATTATGTGCCAACGGTGAGCATTCAAAAATGGGGAAACAGCACTTTTCAAGTCTTTTCTCCAAAGTTTGCAGGCCTGTAACTCAAAAAGTATTAAAGATATCTTAATGCCCTTTTAGATATTGGGTCCTCACAAACTTATCTTTTGGCATCTTCATTTTTAAGGCCCTATATGGTTCAGTTCCAGAGATAATGGAATCTCAATATGGCTCCTGGAGTAAAGCGTGGGTCACTTTGCAAAAATATGATAATTCTTTTCTTTTAATAAACTTTTCTTTTGGAATCTTTATTTTCAAGGCCCTGAAAATATGAAATTTTATAACAATAAATTAGAAAAAGACATTTTAATAATTAATCCAGATGAGGCAAATCTTGGTTTATTGATGTGAATAAAATGAGGCATGGGATTTGTTGTGATACCGCATATCTGAACACTTGTTGAACAGCTGTTAAAACGAACAAAATCCTTTCTTCCAAATATCCCTAAAACGCATTCAAATATAGAATAGACTATAGAATTCTCTATAGATAGAGAAAGTTAATGTGCCTCAACTTGACCATTTAAGTGCATTTTTAGCACTCAGACAGGTATGTCTGCGCATATTGTTTTGATAGAGGGAAACAAGATGCAATTCTAATTTCAATAGTATTTTTTTCTTTTAACATTGTTCGTTAAATACAATAAGTATCGGATGTATACAAAGTGACCAACATTTGGTTTTCAACCACTGAAAATGGGTATTATTCAACAGTCTGAATATAGGACTTCATTGAGGTCCCCATGTCTCTGGGACTGAATGATACAGGGCCTTGAAAATAAAGATTCCAAAAGAAAAGTTTATTAAGAACTAGAATCTAAAATTATATTGTGATATCTTTAATACTTCTTGAGTTATAGGCACACAAACTTTAGAAAAAGAATACTTATGGCACTCAGATGGGTATGTTCAATGCAGATTTTTTGACAGAAGGAAATTCTAGTTTCATTTCTAGGACATTTCTAGTTTCAACATTATTTGTTCTTCAGACATTCCTCTTTAAAAGAAAAGAATTATCATATTTTTGCAAAGTGACCCACGCTTTACTCCAGGAGCCATATTGAGATTCCATTATCTCTGGAACTGAACCATATAGGGCCTTAAAAATGAAGATGCCAAAAGATAAGTTTGTGAGGACCCAATATCTAAAAGGGCATTAAGATATCTTTAATACTTTTTGCATTACAGGCCTGCAAACTTTGGAGAAAAGACTTGAAAAGTGCTGTTTCCCCATATTTGAATTCTCACCATTGGCTCATAATGCAACAAAGATTGCTGAAGTCAACAGATTTTACTAATAGAGTTACCAATCTCTGTATAAAAATAACATTATGATGCTGCCATCTTTCTGAAGTCATTTTTAACCTCCTGTAATTTGGCTCTGAATCTCAGGTGAAAATTGCCATTTTGACCCCCCTCTGCAAAATAGTGGATTACTCAGTAAATATTCATCCACGACATTTAATATTTTGGTTTTCATCACTATACATGTTTATCTTTCTTCAGAAAAAATATTAGCAAAATCTAAAATTTGAGCCAGGGACCTCTGGTTGAGTTGACACAGAATGACGCAGAAGACGCGAGCGATTGAGGCAAATATCACGCATTTCGCATCACCCCGTGCTAATTCGCCTCTATTCGCGTCTTTGCATTGACTCTGTATGTAATCTACTCACGCTAATAATTAAATTCGCGTTTGGTGTGAGCACATCTTTACCATTGAGGAGTGAGTCGAGCCGACTGACAAGAAGAGTGAGATGAGACAGACCAGACTATAGCGGAAGATTTAGTTTCGAAGCGAAATGCAGAAGCGCATGTTTGGCAGTATTTTGGATTTTGAAAAGCCTGTTGACTTTTGCTGTTTATTTAAGGTGATTTTGAAAGTTTTTTAAGCATTTGTTTCTTATTGATTTGGTTCCACAGTGTTTGCTGATTTTTACTTTATTTAAACTTTGTGTATTTTATTTTACATCAAGGTGTATGCCGTGCATCCAATTTTTTTTATTCGTTTGCTAATAAACATTCTACATTTCTTTTTTTTTTTGGTTACACAGTGTTTACTGATTTTCAGTTTTGTAAGCCCAATTTAAACTTTGTGTAAGTTATTTGTTACTTTATATTAGGCATATAGCATGGTGTATTTGTATTAGTTTTGTTGATAAATGTTCTAAGATTACATATAGGCTAAGAGAGTTTTGACGTTTAAAAGCGTAGGAAAGTAGGGAAAACTCAAAATGAAAATGTCCTCACCGTCACAACCCTAGGGCTTCAACCGTCTGCGTCTGCTGAACCTGGGAGGCCTGCGGGCGGAGCTGGACGTGGAGAAGCTGCTGCGGCCGCTGCCCGCTCTGACCTCGCTGGACCTGTCGTCCGTCCATCTGCCTCGACCGGCCTTCCTCACGCAGTGGAGCGAGCGACTGGCGTCTCTGGTGCTGTATAACGTGGAGCTGACGGAGGAGCTGATCCACATGCTGCTGCAGATGAGCAGACTGAGGTCACCTTTACACTAGCTGTTAAAAGATTGGAATACATACAGTGATTAAAAGAAAGAAAGAAGTCTCTTCGGCTCACCAAGGCTGCATTTATTTAATCAAAAATACAGAAAAACTGAAATATTGTAAATGTAAAGCAGCTGTTTTCTATGTGAATATCTGTTAAACTGTAATGTATTTCTGTGATGCGCAGCGGTATTTTCAGCATCATTACTCCAGTCTTCAGTGTCACATGATCTTCAGAAATCATTCTAATATGCTGATTTGCTGCTCAAGAAACATTTCTCATTATTATCAATGTTGAACACAGTTGTGCTGCACAATATTTTTGTGGAAACCATGATGCATTTTATTTTTCAGGATTCACAGATGAACAGAAAGTTCAAAACAGCATTTTTTTAAAATTGAAATCTTTTGTAACATTGTAAATGTTTTTACTGTCACTTTACACAATTTTAATGTGTCCTAATTTCTGAAGGATCATGTGACACTGAAGACTGGAGTAATGATGCTGAAAATACAGCTTTTACATTTTAACATATATTCACAGCTGAAAACAGCTGATTTAAATTGCATTAATATTTCACAATATTACTGTTTGTTGTATCTTTGATCAAATAAATGCAGGCTTGGTGAGCACGAGAGAGATTGTGATTATTCCGGACGTTTGTCTGGTAGTGTATGTGGAACAGAGCAGTGATCCATTTTCGTCTGTTCTGTCTGCAGACACCTGGATATCTCGCGAGAGAATCAGAGAACGTCTAAATTCAAGATGACGAGGAAGATCTTGAGCAGTATCGTTCAGAGTTTGGTCGATCTGGTGTCTCTGGACATCTCTGGACACATCATGCTGGATAACTGCACGGTGCCGGCGTTTGAGGACGCCGTGGGCCGGCCGAGGTGAGGACACACACACACACACATCCATCACACACCGCTCCCTCTGTGTTTGTCTGAGCGTGTGTGTTTGTGTTTTACAGCATCGAGCCGTGTAAGAGCAGCATTTACCCATTTCAGGAGCTGAAGAGGCCGCTGCAGTTCTTAGGACTGTACAACACAACGCTCTGCAACGTCACACACATCCCTGCGTATAAGGTACTGCACACACACACACACACACCCTCCACTCACTCACTCTCACTCTCTCTCACACACACACACACACACACACACACACACACACACACACACACACACA